CACACACACACACACACACACTCTCTCTCTCTCTCACACACACACACACACACACACGTGTGTTTTTCTATCATGCAGTTTCCATTGACGCATGTTGTTGTTATACTGAGCTAATGATATTTTCTAACCTCTGAAGCCCCACACAAACTCTTTCTTACCCCTGACTAATAGCACTTGATTGCAACAGCATGCATTTCAATCAAAAGCACCGTTTCGTGCGTGCATTGCTCTCTTAGCGCCAGTCTGCAGTTGCTCCTGATGATCACGGTACGTACCCAGGACACGATCCGGAGGCCGGTGTGCGGCTGCTGGATGAACGCGAGCGGCTCGAAGGCTCCAGCGGCTCTGCTCGCGCCCCGCTGCATCCCGTCCATCACCTCTCTCTCTCTCTGTCTCTCTGTCTCTCTCTCTCGCTCACTCTCTCTCTCTCTCTCACTCGCTCTCTCGCTCTCTCACTCTCTCACATGTACTGTATCACATGTACTGTATTGCAAGTTGGCTAGTGCTCCTTTTGTAACCAAAAATGGTAGTTTTGTGGAACATACAGTACAGTATAGTACATAACACTGTACCATTGAGATGTTACAGTACTGCGATCCTGTGGCCAGACCCAAACAGACGGCAGGATCTGTAATCCCACCCACGCACAATTGGCCTGTTTTTCTGTATTTACAGTGGTGTATTGGGTTTTATTTTTGCATTACTGCATGTACTGTACTGTAAAGTATAGTACTGTGATGTGCAGTATTGAGTTGATGTCATTTGTAACCTTTCAGTACTTTCATTTTTGGTTGTTGTGAAAACCTTTGTTGGAAAAAAACAGAACAAAAACTGTAAGTGTTGCATTGAGCTTCACAGAATGCTACCTGATGAACTGAATAAAAACAGTGACAATTAAAGACTGCAGTGTTTTATATAAAGTACACTAGTGTGTTGCTGCTAATCTGAAAGTGTATTCATATGATGCAAGTGTGTATCATTTTGTCATCAGAGTGACATTTTAACAAAGGATTGTTAGGTTTTGATAGCAGAGTTTCCATTCGACATAGATGTGAACGGTTTATTTCCCAGTGTTGTGTGCTTGTGTGTAAAGTTTTGACACAATGAGCCGAAGTTTTGCAAAAAGTGTTCCAGCAATAGGCAAACACTGTATTATTCTGAAATTATTTCAGTTGTATTGCTTCAAAGTTTCACGTTTAATTCTGTGTTGCTTGCCGTTTCTTTATAAATGTCTGTGAAATTTACTAGTAGTTTCTGAGTGAAAATCGCTTATACACCACTTTTTTTCAGTGTATTTTATTTATCTTTTTACTGTAGTAAAATCATCATCGAGTGCGTAAACTGCGTTTATTTGGATTAAATCCGTTTCTGTGTGACTCATCGCCATCCGTTGAGCTCTTTAATCTTTTAACAACATCGTGCTAAATAACCGCGGTTTACACTCACTCATCACTGGAATCTGAATCTTATATAAATGATTATGAGGGAATAAAGTTGTTTTAGCTGCGCGTGTGAAGCCTGGCCTCTAGTGGTGGATTTAAAAACCGTTACGTTAACGTCAGAGTGACGTGAGTCTACTGCGTCACGCCGTTCAGCCAATCGCAGTCATAGATAAGTGTAGGTAGAGTCCCCATTCCACCGCTCCAAGCGCCTAGACGCGTCCGCCATCTTGGAACGGTCAATATGTCGTCACTCACAATAAAAATAAACACGTTTCAAGATGCCACAGCATTGAGCAGCCTCTGGATGATCCTAAAGAAATTGGATAAACGTTCACAGGTAAGAATGTGTTGGTTTGTGTTTTTAATATGTATTAACAGTACAGGTTTTTAAACTATAGTACCTTTTAAATGTCATCTTAGCTAACGGCTTCATCTTGTATTGTGTTTATTGCAGATATAGACATACAGGCGTATAACTAAGGTTGCTTGCAGACACGCTCGCTCTCCAGTGTTCACGGACCGGCTTTGACCGTTCCAATATGGCGGACGGAAACAGCCGCTATCAGGGCTGAGTCTAGTTATTCATATCTATGGCCGCAGTGCTCAGATGACTAGCGTTCAGACCAATAGAAGCGCTTTATTTCAGTTGCTAAGCAACGCTTTAGGCTCAGGTTTCCGTGGCGGAAGGAAGGAACAGCTCCGCGATAATCAACACACATTCAGCTTGATCTGAAATCAGTTCAATATTATTCAGCTCTGCCTAATGGTGAAATTAAGAGCCAGATGTGTTGTCGTAGGTAAGAGCGCTTTGTTTGTGTTTGCATGCTTATGCGTATGATTATGATTTAATATAAAGTCGTGTCTCTCTCTCTCTCTCTGTGTGTGTGTGTGTGTGTGTGTCTGTCTGTCTCTTTGAGAAATCAGTGCCTATCCCAGAGGTGGGTGATGCTGTGGTACAGACACAGACACAGACACACACACAGACACACGCACACACACACACACACACACACACACACACAGAGACACACACACACACACACACACACACACACACACACACACACACACACACACACACAGAGACACACACACACACGCACACACAGAGACACACGCACACAGACACATGCACACACACGCACAGACACACAGACACAGACACGCACGCACACACCTGCTCATTGATTGATTGATTGGTGTGTGTTTTCTCTCTCTCAGGAGTTCTACATCTGTGATTCAGCCGGACGGGAGCCATTTGCAGACGCCTGTGAGAACATGGTGAGTTTAATAAAAATAACCCAAACACACTCAGTGTGACCCTGACGTGTGTGTAATGATGTGTGTGTGTGTGTCTTGTGTGTCAGTGGAATCAGCCGTACTCACTCACTCACTCACTCACTCACTCACTCACTCACTCACTCACTCACTCACTCACTCACTCACTCACTCACTCACTCACTCACTCACTCACTCACTCACTCACTCACTCACTCACTCACTCACTCACTCACTCACTCACTCACTCACTCACTCACTCACTCACTCACTCACTCACTCACTCACTCACTCACTCACTCACTCACTCACTCACTCACACACACAACTAATCATATTAACACACTCTCACACACATGCACACGTTATTGACCACCACTAAAAATAGTTTAATCAAATAAAAATGAAAATAAAATATTAGATGAAAAACATAAACTTAAAAAACTTCAAATGTTTAAATAAGTTGTAAAGTACTAAAATTACTAAAACTAAAGCTAAAAAGAAAAACTAATAAAATGACAAAAACGTTGCAAATAAAATGACTAAACTTAAACTTAAAAAAATTAAACTGAAATTTAAATAATAAAACTAAAATTAAAACTGAAAATATAAAAATAAAACTTGTATTATAAAAAATTATAATAGTATATAAATAATACTAAAACGAGGTTGTGCATCACATCATTATATTTTAATCATGTTTTGTTGATCTTATCAAACTGATTTTGTGTCATTCGATCAAACAGCATCAGTGTTTTACAGAACCACAAACCTCACAGAACACATCACTGATACTCACTGCTGCTTGTGCTGCATACTGATGATGTCACTTCCTGGAGGATGATGTCATTCAGGAGCTGGCAGGGGTAGTGAGGTCACTGTGTTTGATCAGGAGTGCTGCTGGGGAATAAGAGTGACCTGTCGTCCAGGAGGGAGGTGGACGCCGCCGGCGCGCAGTCATGGGCTCAGAGTCACGGGCTGGAGTATCACGAGACGTCTGCTGTGAGCCAAACCCTTCTTCATCTTCATCATCATCATCACTGTCTGTCTCTGTCTGCACAGCTGCACGTGTGAACTGAAGCTCTCTCTCTCTCTCTCTCTGTGTGTGTGTGTGTGTGTGTGTGTGTGTGTGTGTGTGTGTTCTGCAGAAGGAGATCGGTCAGTATGAAGCTCCGTTCCTGAGTATGGCTCGAGCGTTTCACTCGCTCTATCAGGATCAGATCCAGATCATCCAGAGTCTGGTTTAAACTCACCAGCGCTCGTCTGTCTGTCGTGTGTTTGTTCTCTGAAATAAAACTCGTTGTTCCTCTCTAAACATGCTCAGTGTCTGAGTGCGTTACAGTTCATGTGATAAATGAATCTTGAGTTAGTCATTTTAGTTTTAAGTTAGTAATCTCATGATACAACGTTGCAGAATTAGGTTCTGAATAAATACATAATAAAGATGTTGTTTTTGTTCTTCATTAGGTCACTCGTGGACAGACTTGATTAGAGTAAAAGACAAATCACAAATTGCTGACAGAACAGTCGTTTGTTTTGAGAGAAATAACACAATAAATCTTACACACACGCACACACACACAAACTCACACACTCACACACACACACACACACACACACACTCACACACACACACACACACACACACACACACACACACTCACTCA